AGTATCAAGTAATGATAGGCGTAACAGTTAGTTAAATAAAGTTGTTACTAGTATCAAGTAACGATAGGCTTAACAGTTAGTTAAATAAAGTTGTTACCAGTATTAAGTAACGATAGTCTTAATAGTTAGTTTAACAAGGTATTTTTATCAGACTTAATAATCTTTGAATACTCGGAGAGTTACTAAACCAACACCCGAATAAGAATTATTACCGTGGACAGACAGACGGACAGCTTTCTCCAACTTTTCCCCCACTCCGTTATCAGCCTGACACAGGTACATTCCTGAATCTGTCACCTTAACGTCGTTAATCAGCAGTGTTCCGTTGTCCAACACTTTCATCTTGTAGCTCCTGGAGACTGGAGTGAAGGAGCCTGAAGGATCTGAAGAATATTGGTAGTTATTGTAAGGTAGTCTGTACCGCCATCTAGATAATGTTTTGTGAACTATTATTTTAAAATTGTAGCAGGAACGATTATTTACAAGTAAGAGAGGCACAAGTTAATTGAACAGAAATGATTCCTAACATTAATAAATAAACTTAGTTTTCACAAATGTTTTTCATTTCGAAGTCTAAGTTCAAGGGAGGTAAAATTCAATCTACACTTTGATAAACGTGGAGGTTAAAATGTTCGTTTTAGATTTCAGGATAGTCGATGCTGTTAATATTATTATATTTATCAATCATCGCTAAATACATTTTTTTAATTATTTATTGTATAATGAAAATTTCGATAAAAAGGACAACATTTTGTGATAACTAACTTTTAATTTTCCAGGTGACTCTAGGTGCAGGATATCCCCCGACAGAACAAACAATCAACGTTCGTGTAGCTAAGATAGCCTGAGCCGTGTTCTTTGGTTGTCGTTTCCAGAAAGGTGGCGCTGTTCAGGAGGAAACTGGATTTATGATAACTTGAACAAATGTGTTTATCTCATGAAAATGTACAATAATAACCTAAATAACCAGATAACTTTATCATGGACAGTAATAACATAGATAACCAGACAATTGAGTTGTGTACAGCAATAACCTAAATAATCAGATAATTGTATCATGTACAGTAATAACCTAAATAACAAGATAATTGTCTTCTGAATCAGACTAAGTTACATTAGATAGTATTATCTCTAACAATCAGAGCAGCTGTAGAACTGTCAGATCCTGCTGAACTAGACTAAGTTACGTTAGACAGTATTACCTCTAACGATCAGAGCAGCTGTAGAACTGTCAGATCCTGCTGAACTAGACTAAGTTACGTTAGACAGTATTACCTCTAACGATCAGAGCAGCTGTAAAACTGTTAGATCCTGTTGAATTAGACTAAGTTACGTTAGATAGTATTACCTCTAACAATCATAGCAGCTGTAACTGTCAGATCCTGTTGAATTAGACTAAGTTACGTTAGACAGTATTACTTCTAACGATCAGAGCAGCTGTAAAACTGTTAGATCCTGTTGAATTAGACTAAGTTACGTTAGACAGTATTACCTCTAACGATCAGAGCAGCTGTAAAACTGTCAGATCCTGCTGAACTAGACTAAGCTACATTAGACAGTATTACCTCTAACGATCAGAGCAGCTGTAAAACTGTCAGATCCTGCTGAACTAGACTAAGTTACATTAGACAGTATTACCTCTAACGATCAGAGCAGCTGTAAAACTGTCAGATCCTGCTGAATTAGTGGCTGTACAGGAGTAGTTGGCTACGTCTTCAGAAACGATATCTTGGATTCGTAAATTACTTGAAAAAGCATCTAAACTGGAGACAGTGACTCGTTCGTTGGTTGATAGTGGTTTTCCATCTTTGCTCCACCTAAAGGTAACTGGTAAATCACCTTTCTTGAGATTACACACGATTTGTACTCTCGAACCCAGCTCAATGTCACTAGAAAATTCGTATGGTTGTAAACTCGGTGGTTCTGTAAAAGAAAAGTTGTGGTAACAAACTTATCAGACATGATATGTAGTTTAAAACGTGTGGTAACAGATTGATAACACGTGGTGACTGATGTAGTTGTTGTAACAAACTTATCAGACATGATATGTAGTTTAAAACTTGTGGTAACAGATTGATAACACGTGGTAACTGATGTAGTTGTTGTAACAAACTTATCAGACATGATATGTAGTTTAAAACTTGTGGTAACAGATTGATAACACGTGGTAACTGATGTAGCAATTGTGGTAACAGATTAATAACACGTGGTAACTGATGTAGTTGTGGTAACAAACTTAGCGGACATGATATGTAGTTTAAAACTTGTGGTAACAGATTGATAACACGTGGTAACTGATGTAGTTGTGATAATAAACTTATCAGACATGATATGTAGTTTAAAACTTGTGGTAACAGATTGATAACACGTGGTAACTGATGCAGTTGTGATAATAAACTTATCAGACATGATATGTAGTTT